CCCTACGAGCAAACCAGAAGTCTGTTCCTGAACTTCCGGTTTGCCCATACGGCCGGTTTTTCACACTCAGGGAAGCCTCCAGAGGATGAAAAATGGCCTCAAAAGAAGGCCGAAGTCAGCTGGCCAGCGTGCGTATGCGCGCTGGCCAGCTGACTTCGGCCTTCTTTTGAGGCCATTTTTCATCCTCTGGAGGCTTCCCTGAGTGTGAAAAACCGGCCGTATGGGCAAACCGGAAGTTCAGGAACAGACTTCTGGTTTGCTCATAGGGCCAGTTTTAGCCCTCTGGAGCCTCCAGGGGCCTTCAGGAGGCTTCCCCGAAGGCTCTGGAGGACAAAAAACAGCCCTACATACAAACCGTAATTCACTTCCAAGTTGCTCATGTGGTCTTTTTTTGCCGGGGAGCGGGGAGGCTGTCTTCGCCCTCCCCAGGCTCTTATAAAGTCTCTGGAGCCTGGGGAGGGCAAAAAAAGCACGCCAAAAATGGTGGGTGAGCACTGGTCATGCATGCATGCACGCTGTGGTTGCGCACATAGCATTATGGGTGTGGCATGCCCGCACAAAACCACTCCCCTGTGCTTCCCCCATTTTTGGCACACGAGTCAAAAAAGTTTCGCCATCACTGGTCAACCATCTTTCATTTTCGTTATACAGAGTTCTGCAGTTCTCTTTTAAATGCACATACATGTTAATACCGTGTTCAAACTGACAATTTGGTTACACATGTTTCAGATGACCAATGCACAAGGCAATTTACTTCACAATTTCTGCAGCTAGGGCTTATTGTCTAAAAAACCTGAAGGCAGGGAAAGAAACAATGGATGGAAACTACTAATCAAAGAAAGATGCAACCTATAACTAAGCAGAGATTTCCTAACAGTGAGACCATATAATCAATGGAACAACTTGACTTCAGGGGTTTGGGGTGCTCCATCACTGGAGGTTTTAAAGAAGAGACTGGACAATCATTTTTTTTTTCTGAAAAGATATAGGATATCCTGCCCAGAGTCCCTAGGGAGTGGGCGGCATACAAATTCCAGTTTGAAAGTTAAAGTTTGAAAGTTTGAAGAAAGCCTGCAAAGTCCTATCCAACACTTCCAAAACAAGAAAATATACAATTGTNTTCTCTCTCCCTCCCTCCCTCTCTCTCTCTCACACACACCCATACACACACATTTTCATTATCAGTTCTTCCTTTTCTTGGCAATCAGGCAGTTTTGTCAGTTTCTCTCATAGAAAAAGGCAGCCTTCTGAGGCTGAATTGACTTGCAGAGCTGTCCTGAAGAATTTTAGGATTTTACCAAGCTTCAGATTCACTTCCTCTCACTGTGTCTCCTGTACAGTAATAGACTGCCGTGTCTTCAGCTTTGAGGCTGTTCATTTGCAGATACAGCTGGCTTTTGGCATTGTCTCTGGAGATGGTGAAGCGGCCCTTGACTTTGTCTGAATAGTAAGTAGTACTGGAAGGGTTTATGCGTGCCACCCATTCAAGTCCTTTTCCTGGAGCCTGTCTCACCCAGTGCATGTAGGCACTACTAAAGGTGAATCCAGAGGTTTGGCAGGAGAGACGGAGGGACTCCCCAGGTCTTCTCACATCTCCTCCAGACTCCACCAAATGGACTTGAGACTGGACTCCTAAAATGAAAGCAGATTCAGTCAGCTCTCCTGCATGTAAGAATTAAAAGGAAAAGAGTCCAAATGGTTAAGAAGGGATTACCTCTGAGCATTAAAAGAAAGGACACCAAATTTAACCACAGGAACATTGTTGCTCCTTCTGATGAATGGAGGGCAATTGATAGGAGAGAATTCTGGAAACAATCAGCACAAACTTTGTGTTGGTGGGTGTTGCCTGAAGAGGGAAACCCTGAGCTTTAAAGAGGAAATTGTGCCTCAATTTACATATTGCTTAAGATAAATGGGCTCCTATGGGCATTATCTCATAGGTTTCTTTGCACAGACTTTACAAGTGTGGTTTTCAAATAACGCTAAATAATCAGCTGTGTCCTTTGCTAATAGAATTGAGTTTTGGAGAGAGTGAAGCATCCCTTCCCTTTATCCGTGTAGTCAATAATATAGAACCTTTGATTGATGCCCTCTATTGCAGCTGTTTCCAGGTCCCTCTGTCAGCCGTTTCATATAATGAGTGTGGAAGCTGATCAAGAGGCAAGGCAGGAGAAATAGAGGGGGAAATCCTGGCCTTTTCCCAGGACGCTTAGACCTTCAACTGGACACCTAGAAAGAAGGGTACTTGACTGAAATCTCCTGCAGACAAAAAGAACAAATGGAACTAAATTCTTCAGAAAGGAAAGCATTATCTCTGAGGACTGCTAGTAAGGATGACAAGTTTCACCCATGAGAATTCTTCTTTATTCTTTAATGAATTGAAGGGAATTGATCAGAAAAGATTATGGAAAGTGCCCAAACTTTGTGCTGGGGTATGTAGACTGAAAAGGAAAACCATGTGGCTCATTTATGGAGGAAATTGTTCCTTGGTTTAAATAACTGGCATAAAAAATAAGTCCGCTGCAGTTTCTTATATATCATATTTTTCAGAGTATAAGACACACCTTTTCCCCTCAAATAAGCGGATGGAAATCTGGCTGTGACTTATACACTGAACACAACTGTTTTGCCTCCAGAAACCCTGCTCCCTCCACCACAATGGCTGTGCATTGCCTTTAGGAGGTTTTCAGAGTGCTCCTGGGGGCTG